CCCCCCATTGCTTAAGCATCATGTTGAGGACTCTGATGCATCTTTAGTCTTCTGGGTTGTCTGTTGCTTGTGAATGTCATTGCTGGGGAGACCACAGGATCTCTGCGTATTTATGAGGGAAGTACTTTTCAAAACAGTGTATCTTGCTTGCTGCTTAGTTCATGTAATTAGGCTTTGAAGGACTGTTTTGGAAATGATCTGCTTAAAGCCTCTGATGTGGTAGAGAGGGTGTCCTATGTTTCTTGTACTTGCTTTTAAAGGTTTTGAGTTACAGTTTGGTGTAGTGGTTAGGAGCATGGACTCTAATCTGGGAGAACCGGGTTTGATTCTCCATTCCTCTACTTGCAGCTGGTGGTGTGACCTTGGGTCAATCACAAGTTCTTTCAGAGCTGTTCTCTCAAGAGCAGTCCTCAAAAGAGCTCTCTCAGCCCCACCTACCTCACCTATCTCACCTACCTCTGTTTTTAAATGGTAAGCAGATCTGCATGAACAAAATGGGGGGACATTCAGATCAGAGTCCTTTTAAAATTTCCTTTTGCCGTGTGCAGCCCAGAGAAAACATTGGCCTAATATGCTAATGAGCTGTGCTGTCAGGGGTGTGGCCTAATATGCTAATGAGTTTCTGCTGTTGGGTGTGGCCTATTATACTGATGAGTTCCTGCTGGGCTTTTTCTACAAAAAAGAGCCCCGGACCTGTAGCTTAAATGAGTATTGGACATAAGAGAAGATGCACACACAAAAATCTGCAATTTGCACAAGCTGCAAACCAACACACAAGAAAATTCAAACATACCTTCATAAACAATAACTCTCAGAACATCAAAACATTACACCATATGCTAATCCTCCACAAAACAATGCAACCCCACAAGCATGACCAGATGTCCAGCAACATGGAATAAAAAACCAAAACAAAAACAGGTAAATCTGGGTTATCTTCACTCAATAGCTACTTAGGCACTAGGGATGGGCATGAACTGGCTCAGAAACTAAAGTTTGTGACAAATTTTGGCCAGTTTGTGGTTCATGAAGTGAAGTTTGTGGCAGCTCAATCTGCATGAACTTTCCATGAACTTTCAAATTGTTTGTGGAGGTTTGTGCTGGTTGGTGAACAGATACATTTCCAGACAGACTGCCTCCACTCAATCCAAATTTTTACCAAACTTCAAAGCAACGGGGGGAGGGGACTTGGATGGCATGTAGAGGAGCATCCAGGGCAGGTCCCTACAACTTTGATGTCTCTAGCTTGCACCGGATCCATTCTATACACTCTAGAACCTCTTGAACCTGCCTTTTTGACAGATGCAGGTTCAGGAGGTTCAGAAGTGTATAGAACAGATCCTGTGCAAGATAGAGACACGAAACTCACAGGGGATCTCCAGCTAACTCTTCTCTACCTGCCCTCCAGGTTTGTTGAGGAATCGAGGATTGGATGTATGGGGTCTGAGTTACAGCCCCCCAAAGAAGGTTCCCCCAGGAAAATGATTTCTGAGGAAACGACAGGCTGTCCATTTCCCCAGAAAGCACTTTCTTGGGGGCACACTCTGTGAGAGACTGTAACTCAGACCCCATACATCCAATCCTCACCAAACTTAGCAGGCAGGTAGAAGAGGGTCATCTGGAGATCCTCTGCAAGTTTGGTGTCTCTAACATCCTTGGGGCCTCATTCTACTGGGTCATGAACCTCATGAACTAAACCAGTTCATTTGGCCCCTAAAAGTTTTTGACGGTTCATTGTTCACGAAGCGGGCACACCATGAACTGAAGTGCATCTTCCCAGTTCATGCCTATCCCTATTGGGCACTACTTGGGGACCAAATAAATCCTGCTGATCAACTAAATGTATTTAACTTGGAGGTCACAAGAAACATGATTCTTCTTAGGAGCAGAACTGCAGTTTGCTACTTCAATTTATGAACCATGTTAAAATTCCCTGTGTACATACACGTCATTCTATGATGTTGTTATGCTTAATTATGGCATTGTTTTAAACTAGCTACACAGTAGTTTTCAACAGAGCATCAAGCTGCATGCCTAAACACAAACACATCAGTCCTGTTCACATCTTACAATGAACACCCACGCAACCTGCATGGATGTGTGTACACCAGTTTATAAGAAAGAGCCAACATTGTTTACAAATGAAACTGGGGATTTGAATATAATATGAAAGAAAAATCCTGGTGTACATTGTACACAGATTGTACATGTGTTCAGAGGTCATTTCGGGGGGGGGATCGCGGGGGATCGCAGTTCCCCCGGGTGAGGTACGGGGGGCGGGGCACATGACGAAGCCCCGCCCCCTGGTTCCGGACACCCAGCTTCTGGCCCTCATTCAGCCAGGAGGAGGCAGGAGAAGAGGGAGGGTAAGTTTCTTCCTCCCTGCCTCTCCACACCCCTGCCTGCCTAGGGCCAGGGAGGGCCTTTGCGGGGCTTCCTTGTACTCCCGCCGGCCTTGCAGGTCCACCGCCGGGCCCCTCGTGGGGCTCGGCAGTGGAGCTGCAAGGCTGGCGGCGGGGGCCGGGACCGTTGGGGGCGGGGTGTGTGGCCTTATGACACACTTCCGGTGATGTCAGGGGGTGTGGCATATGCTAATGAGTTCCCCTAGCTCTTTTTCTACGAAATGACCCCTGCATGTGTTTACTGTAACTATTGCATTTGCACATTCACAAAATTATACAATGGGGGGAAATCATGTATCTGAACTGTCTAAAGTTTGCTCACCCATGCCCACACACTGTCTGGTTTTGCATTACTTGATGACTTTCTGACACATACAAATCTATGTTCGCATCCATATTCTTGCACTTATTCTTACACACACATTCCTGTTTGCTCAGAGGTACATATATGTATTTTCCAGTTAAACTATATTCAGTTTCCTCATATACTGATGAACCCTGGCCTATCTGTCTAAAAGGCATTTTTAACATGCAAGCAATGCCTCCCTTAAGGCTGCTCAACAGGATGCCAAGTTCATAATCACACACGAACATACACATCTCTCCAAAGCTAGTTGTGAAGTCAGCGTTAGAAGGCTGCTAGCAATTAGAGTCTCTGGAGATTTAAATTCAGGAATGGACATGACAGGCGCCTCGTATGCCTCTGTACGCTGTGTTCTGGCTCTGATAAGCACGAGTGCTCGCTGCAGTCGTCTTGCTGAATCCTGCACTAGGGATGGGGGAAAGAGAACAAACTGTATATCCGATCTGTCAACCAGCCTTATGGTACAAAAAACATTCAGGGCATCGTCAGGACCACAGAAGGATAAAAATTATTCTAGTCAACAAAATGCTACAGCTTCTCACTGTTGCAAATTCTCTTTATGCAGATCTATCGTATCGGTTAACTGATTCACGCTTAAGGACAATGGTAAGGGTGATCCTGGATGCCTCATTTTCTACAGAGGCCCGGGGCACTACAGTTGCCAGGTTTGCCTTTTATCGTCTCTGGCAGATCAGACAGCTGGTTCCCTATCTCGCCCCCCAGGACTTGGCTACAGTGACCCATGCAGTGGTCACTTCCGGGCTTGACTACTGTAACTCGCTTTACCCAGGCTTATCCTTGAAGCTCATTCAGAAACTTCAGCTAGTGCAAAATGTGGTGGCATGCCTGATGACTGTGACATCTGTGTGGGCACGCATTCAGTCAGTGCTCCGCCAATTGCACTGGCTACCAATCGAGTACCGGATCTGTTTCAAGGTGTTGGTGTTGACCTTTAAAGCCCTATCCAGCCTGGGACTGACATATCTGATGGACTGCCACTCCCCATATGTGCTTTGGAGAGCTTTACACACTGCGGACTGCCCTGGCCCCGGTCTGGAGGAACATGCTCCCATCTGAGATCAGGGCCTGTATAGAAATTTTGATTTCTGCCTTCTATAATCCATGCCTTCCCCTGGGATGTCTTTTTGATAACATGCTGTGTTGTATTTCCTGTCGCCAGCCAAATGGCCTGAACATTTGGCCGGAGAAACTTTATAACCATGCCATATAACCACACATTCTTTCACACCTCTAAGTGGAAGAGGCAGACCTGATGGCTCCTGCCTCTACCCCACACTTGAGAACTCACATACACAATGATGTAGTTAGAGTTTGGGGTCACCTGACTGCAGAAAGAGTTCCCAAAGTTCTGGCCAATCCTATGTGGCCGCTATGACAACCAACAATTGGGCACATCCCCTGTCTGCTCCTGAT